AGATCATTATTTTTGGTCTTTTTGAATTAATATTGAATTTTAATAAAGTTCATATCGAACTGAAAAGAGGTTCTGATTTAATATGCCACTGTGTTACCTACTGTATAGATGGCTTCGATGTTTTCAAATTACACATCGATTTATCACTGAAAGTACTCTTGAACAGTCGGAGGAGTCAAATTGAAGTAGGTACTGGTATTATTACCATAAAAACAAGTAAGAGCATTGCGCAGCAAGCTACATATAATGTACATCTTTCCTACAGGGCTTAGTCCTATTTTCAAGTTTCTTCTAAAGTCCATAAAGGCAAAGTAAGTTGAAACCCACTCCACTGCTATTCTAACAGAACTCATGCTCTTGTTAAAGGCTTGTTGTGCAGCTGTCAACTGTGCATTCTGAAAGGGTGTTTGTAAATGCACTTTAAGTGGGTATGCTGAATCACCATAAACGCACAAGGGCTCTCTGGCAGGTGATATTGATCCATTTGATGAAGAAGCGCTGACATTCTAAGTAAACCACCATCATGACGCTTACCTTCCGAAATGTTACAAAAGTACATGAATCAGTTTGTACATGACATAAATGCAATATGATTTTCAATTTAAATATTTAGGTTCATGGTTTTTATCTTTATTCTTATATGAGTATGTTCTTGCAATAAGGAGTATTTGTATATGTTAAAGCAAATTTGACAATGCAAAAAGTCTGATTTGGTAGTAATTAAATGTTTCGTCATTTTATGTAAACAAATGAATAAAATTACTACATGTAGTTTGGCTGTTTCAAGCAAAGACATCTATTTAACTTATTTGCTTTATAAATGTATATACCAATAGGATAACATCATACCTAAGGGTCCAAACATATTGGCAATCATCCCATTTGGCACAACAACTGATTGAAATTTTAGAGCATGTATGCGCTTATGACCATTGTACATCACTCTTTGATGCTCTCCTGGGCGGGCAATTGGTCTCACAGTACCATCTATGAAGCCCCAGCAGTTTTCAAGTGCTGCTCCCTTTTAAGGGAAAAATAAATAAATAATTAAAAATAGTAACAATAATATTATATGTTAATTTTTTTAACAGTGCTTTGTTTTTAATTCTGTGATGCTTTGATATCTTCTAGGCTTGATCTTCATAAAAAACCTAGCCTCTAGTTCCCTGATACATGAATCATCATCAGAAAGAGAATGAACCTTTTTGTTACTTTTTCAAGTAACTTACTTGAATATTTGACAAAGTTTTCAGATATCAATGGTATAAAATAACACTCACATAAATATATTCAATTCAAACTTGACTCTTACTGCCAAACTTTGCCATTGGCTGCCTGTTTGCAGTTCTAGGTATATTTTTGTCTAATCATTTTCGTTTTGCCCCACAAATTCTTAATTTTTTTATGCAAAATTAATATCTAAAAAGTTTCAAAAATAGACTTAAAAAATGGATATGGTACTATACTCATTGCAAAATAATCATATATCTTTAAACCGTACAATTACAATGGGAATACACATTTAAGTACATACATAGTTTGATTTGTCTGTGTTTGCTCCTTTCAATTTTCTAATGTTTATGACAATATTTGCTCATAATGTGTAATTATTTTACAGGCTGCATTATGCATAAATTTAAATGTCCAATGCAGTGACACTAAGCAAAACTGCCTTGCCATATCAACAAGCAAGTTTCTACTACCCAATAAAACTGCAACTGTATCACTGTCAACCCTGAAACAACTGCTGGAGGAGGCTGGATGTAAGGCGTCTGGATGCCAAAAGAAGCACCAGGCCAACTTCCTGAGTGACCTCTCCCTAATCCCCTGTAGTGCCGCAATTGTACTCAGAGGTGCTAAAGCTGGAGAAGGGGAAAGGAATTCGAAATTGGGCCAGTGTACTTTGGTATGCCATAGTTCATTTAAGAAAGATGACTTGGATGCAATCAAACTAGGTAAGTGAACTTATACATAGGCAGCCTGGACATTGTTAGATGTACTGCAACTTTTATTTCAAACCTACGACCTCTGAGACTGTATGCCCATATTAAAATTGAGTTTGAAAGTTTTTGAATGTTAAAAAAAATAATCAACCTAATGATCCACATGGATATTTTGATAACTGATACTTGAAACATGTCCATGAAACCAAATACCCTGAAAAAAGAATTTTTGTTATTACATTTTAAATGTAATTTGAAATGATTATGCTTTTTTCCTGTTTACGCAGTTTTTTCCCAAAATGACTGGAGATTAAAGTTTTTAAGTGTTGATGAAGTAGAACAAGAGGAAGAGCATGAGCAAGAGGAAGAGGAAGAAGAGACAGGCGAGCCTTCAGGAAGTAAAAAGGCTAAACTGTCTGACTGATGACATGTGGTTTTTCCTGTGTTTATAACATCATATTATTAATTTTTTGTAAAACAAGTTGTAGCTATATAATTCACTAGACACATGTAATATATAATTATATTTTGCTGCTTTTTTGATTCATTTTCCTAGTTCACTGTCTATGAGGATATAAACATTAAAAAATGTTTAATTTTCTCTATTGTGATAAAGGAAAATTACATTTTAATGATAATTTTATCTAAATTAGTGAAACCAATTATGATAGATTTTTACATCAAATTCATAAAAACATTTTTTATTGGAGACTGCACAAGTTCTTGAGATGTCCAATTTATCCTCAGGCATTGATGTGCTATCACAAAATTAGATATTTTAACTGATGTCATAGAAATGGTATATCTGATCCAAGAAATTACTGCCTGTTTAGGTCACTTTTTTCATATTTAAAATTCCAAAAAAGCTATGAATCTTGAATATTTTTCTTATGCTAGTTAAGTTCCAGTTCTAGAACATTTCACATATTGTGAAAAAAGTAATGTTTAGGTGGAATGGTGAAGTTCTTTTTCATGCCGACTTGTTGAATTCAAACTAGAAATGAATTTTATAATTTACAACTATTTGCATTATTAGGGTAGTAACACATAAATTTTGATAATTACAATTTAAGGTTTGAGTAAAAAATCACCGCCAACATTGATTCATGAAAAGTTGATTAATACAGAACGTGGAACTGTATCATGTAAAGAAGAAAAAATGATTTTAATAATGATGTAAATAAGGTGATTAAAATTATAAATGATTTGCTCAAGCTCTTTTGATATTATTTTATCACTAAATTATAAGCACTTGAAATAGACTTATCAGGTAATTCTCGTAACACCTTTAAAACAATAGAGTATTTGAATTTAGAAAATATGCTGTAATGTAGTTGCTTATATTGTTGGTACTGGATGTTCTGAAAAGCAAATAAACTACAAAGTTTAGAAGGGTAGGAAGTTTCCAAAGTCAACTTTACTATCATGACAGCAATTAAACTGCCTTAGAATCCAACTACTTATTGTTTTTATTATTGAATAAGAAAATTTTCCGAAATGGTAGATGGTAAATAAAAATTCACAGTTTTTTCATTATTTTAATGTATTGCAATGCTATATGTCCCGATACAACCCTTATGTGACAGGCACTATGGTATCACATGGTCAATACTTGACCATTGAAAGACAGAGGAGGATTTGTTGAATTTGAAGTTAATCATTCTATAGACTTCATATTTTATCTAAACAAGAATTCATGCAAATAAAGGGTCTGTATAGGGTCTATAGTATCTGTAGTATCTATAGTGTCTATAGGGTCTATAGCATCTATAGTGTCTATAGCATCTACTCAAGCATGTTAAGGCTGGGTTTTGTCCAATATTCGAAAAAAATCTAGTTTTTTAAATATTGAACCAATTTGTCTTGAAAATTTAAAACAACAAATAAATCAATGAGTTGATATATACTTGCCAATAAAAATGAGTAAATATCGATCACGTCACTTGTCACGTGATAATATGTGCTATCGACTTTAGGATCAAATGGGGTGGCGAAATTTTCTAATTATAAAAAATGTTTAGCCATTTTAAGTAGTTGGATAAATGATTAATAGGTTTCTGTTTGGAATGGATGAATATGATAGCATGGTAAMAATATATTTGCGTTTGTTTGACTCAAATACAGATTTTGGACATAAAATCACTTCTCGATAACTTACTAAAGAATATTTCCATCCATTCCAGACAGATTTGGCTAAAACTATTGCAAATCTATTGTGAACAWYTAAAACATTCGACATTTATTGTTATTTCTCCACCCCGTTTACTAAAGAAGTATCTTCGTAGATTCTCAATAATATCCGCCATTTTGAATGCCTCTCGTGCATGCTTAGGGAGCCTGGGCTCGAGACCTTTTGTCTGCATACATGAAGTATCTACCCTTTTGTTTGGTTTATACCGCTTTGAATATGTATAGAAGGCTCAATAAAATGGCCGACAAACAAGAAGGATTCACCGCCATTCTACTTGTGAGACTAATAACCTCCATTCAAAATCATCCAGACTTGCAGTTTGTACGATTATTGCTTCGTTGCTTATTAG